CTGCCTGCCTGCCTGTGCCTCCCTCCTGCCTGCCTGCCTGCCTGGCTGGCTGGCTGGCTGTCTGCCTGCCTGCCTGCCTGGCTGGCTGTCTGTCTGTCTGCCTGCCTGGCTGGCTGGCTGGCTGTCTGTCTGGCTGGCTGTCTGCCTGCCTGCCAGCCAGCCAGGCTGGCTGGCTGTCTGTCTGTCTGTCTGTCCGTCTGTCCTGTCTGTCTGTCTGTCCTGTCTGTCCTGTCTGTCCTGTCTGTCCTGTCTGTCCTGTCTGTCCTGTCTGTCTGTCTGTCTGTCCTGTCTGTCTGTCTGTCTGTCTGCCTGCCTGCCTGCCTGCCTGTCTGTCTGTCTGTCTGCCTGGCTGTCTGTCTGTCTGTCTGTCTGCCTGCCTGGCTGTCTGTCTGTCTGTCTGTCCGTCTCTCTCTCTCTCTCTTTTTCCTTCTTTTGCCTGTTTGGATTCCTTTTGCTCGTCTCGGTGAATTTGGGCTTCTTTTGGAGGACAATTTGTTCTTTGGCGGGTTTGTGGCGCCATGAATTTCACTAGTGAAGCGTTCTTGAATCGCACCCCATACTGTCGCGCTTGGGACTCTCTGCCCCGCCATATTTTTGACACCTTGGTGGATGAGGGATTTTCCACCCGCCAAACTGATGGAGAACTACTGGCGGTGGCCTGCCTGCGGGTGGGCAACCCGACGAGTCCCTCGAACTTGGGGGCCAGCAAGCGGCGGTCTTCAGCCCTCTGGTTTGGGGCTGCGACCCGAACGACCCGGATATCCACATGGTCCCCGAGGACTACCTGATGGCACTAGTCACGGCGGCCGCAGCTCGCCTTCCTCAACCTGTGGATCAGGAGGACTTGGAACGCATCAGGGCCATCCTTTGGGATCTGTTGATCAAGGTCGCCCAGGGCCCCATGTCCTCGACCTACGGCCCACTGCAGTACACCCACGACCGGCGAGACATGCAGACGTGGCACAACCGCAAGAGCCGCCCTCCACTGCTCCAGCCGGAACTCCTCAAGTGGCGACACTGGCGCCCAGGCCAAATCGCCACGATGGAACCTACTACCCAACCGGCTCTGGAACTCCATCTGCGCAGCCGATGGGCGGAACGCCTCACCGCCCACTTCGCACCCTATGCTGAACACCTCCCAAACCTGGAGGCTATCATGCGGGACTCAGACTTCCGCATCATGGAGTTGAAGCATCTACTGGGAGATGCCAGGTTCCGCTCTATTCGGCAGCATTGCTTGGTCTACGAGAATCTTCGCAAGCGGGGCTTCGTGGCCATCCCATGGCCACTTCATGGAGGGAATCTGACGTACGGGCCCTGCTGAACAGGCTGCAGACGGATGAGATCTCGCCATACAAACTTCAGCAGATATGGCAGACTCTGAACTGGCTGTCCAAGATCTTCGGCCTACTGAAGGTGGATGAACATCAGCGCCTTGTCACCAAGAAGAAGGCCCTGGAGGAGGAACTCGCGCCCACTGTGGTTCGCCCCCAAAAGAAAGCAGCGGTCCCTTCGCGGGAAGTGATTTGGGCGCTGGAGGAAGGAGCGGCGCTCGGGGACCCCCTGGTGCCCCTGGCCCAGCGGCCCCGGCGTCTGCGGCCCCTGGCCGGGAGCGCCATGAGCGCTTGGACGCCTTCATTGGGTTGCAGTGCCCGTTTTGATGACCTTCAACATGTCCGACCTGAGGAACTCCGGACTACCTCCAATACCAAAGAGCTTCAGGCCTGGCAGACGAAGGTGGCCCGAGCGGCCCGCATCCGCACCTCTGATCTGCCCAAAGTATAGTTTCTCGGGAGCACCCTGGTGCTTGCAATTTGTCTCCAGTGCGGAAGCTTTCGGTACTGAAGGCATTCGAGGGCATGGACTATACCTCCTCCCCACGATCAGCAAGGACTTTGCGGGGTTGATCCCGCGCCCCTCACAGGGGGATCGCGCTCTACGATGGCTCAAGGATGCCCTTCGACGTCGGGGGGTGGCCCAGGAACATGTCACTCCCCTCACTTGGCACTCCTTCCAGGTCTTTATCCCGGACTGTGCCTTCCAACGGGTTCCCCGCTCAGAGCGGCAGTACCTGGGGAACTGGATGACTGAGTCCACAGCTGACGTCTACACTAGGGAGAAGAGAAATGTCGTCACTGCCATCTGGACCAAGGTGGCCGACAAGGTGTGCTACCCCGCCTTTGGACGCAGACTCTCCACAACCGGACAAGGTCACCCCGGGCACCACTGACTCTTGGGACATTGTGGAAGGTGAAGACAATGGCTTGGGCCACTTTCTTGCCCAGGCCAGTGACCTGCCACTGAACGGCGATCAAGCCGACCAAGATGATACCTATCAGGTGATCAGCTCTAACACGGCACGGGGCCCCGACAAGCAATTTCGTGTTCACCTCCTCACCGTGGAGGGCTTCTGCCTGGGCTGTGGCTGGCGCCCCAGAAGCGCCCAGATGACAGTGTTGACCCCAGGGGAGTACTGGGCCAACCCCATGGGCTACGGCAAGTGCACGCGGTGCTTCGCCAAGGGTGACCTCCCCCAGTCGTGGTTCGTGAGCCGCCTTGGCTCAGTGGAAGGGAAGGACATTCCCGACCTTGAGGTGGACACCGAGAGCTCGGCCACGTCGGGCTCGGACACGGATGACTCTGTGGACACCCATGTCAGAAGATGACGCCGTACCACTGCCTAAGGTACTACCGATGGAATCCTGCTACGGTTCTCACTTACAGGACGGCCCCCCCGGCCCACGGCCAGGTGCCCCTTGGCCCTGGAATGGCGTCGGGGGAGGGGCATACGAGGTACACACCTCGGTCCGCCTGCGTCCTTCGGAAATGGCGGGTGTGCCAGGCAGACCTTCGGACGACCCCAGCATCAATCAAAGCGCATAAGAAAAGCCTGCGCGCAGCTTTTGCGCTCTCGGGATCTCTCCGACTTCTGGGTACATATTCACACTTGCATGTAGCTTGCGGGTGCAAGTTTTATGTTCACTGAAGTTCACAAATTTTGGCTCAAGCTGGTGGCAATCATCCACAGGATTGCGCCTGAACTCTGGAGAAAACCAACCCAACCCGCCCTTGATGGCAGCGTGCCGGTGGTGGGGGGGGGCAGGCGTTGGCCCCCCAGCAGAACCAGTGAAACCCCCAACTGAGGCCCCTGAGGCCCTGCGACCACATCTCGATCTCTTGACGAAGCCGCTTGCGCTCATCTTGGTCGCGAAACAGATCCCCTGGGTGGTGCAGGCCAAATTGGCCCAGGAGGGCTATGTGACCGTGGAGGACTTAGGGGACCGATGGACACCCCGAAATACGCACGGGGTGAAGGGCCCCGAGATTTGGAGTTCCAAGATGGTGAGAACAACTTCAATCAGGCCTCCTCCCGGTTCACTGCCATGCGTTTGCTTCAGGCGGTCCGGGCGGCCAGGCTGATGGCTCAGACACAGCTTCATGTGGGTCGCACCGGCCGTGGAACCCCCAGGCACGGCCAAGGGCCCCCCTACATTCTTTTGGAGACCGCCTATGCTGAGGCATACAACTGCCTCAAACCACGACTGGAGTAAACCACGACTGGAGTGCCGGGACAGTGATGCCTACCTGAAACGCCAGTTCAAGCACATTGCGGCCGGGGAGCTTGGCTACATCCAGGCCAAGCACATTGTCGGGGCCCTTCCGGAGGACGGGGAGCGACCCGTCAAGACCGCACGAAAGGTGTCAGTGGATGGCTGGGGCCGGGCAGATGAGGAAGAGACCCGGCCTCGGACCTGACGGCAATTGGAGAGAATGCGCAGGGTGTTCAGGACCACCCTGTTGATGTGCTTGCCCATCTGAGACTGACCAAGGAGGCCCTGGACGAATGGTAAGTGGTTTTACGGGGAGGACATTGCGGGTCGCCGACCCCCCCCGTCGGAAAGAGCCCTCCAGTTTGCGGAGCGCAATGCCTGGCGCAAGATTCATGACCTGGTCCACTCAGGCACCCCACTCGCTGAGGCCCTGTCCAAGCTCCGCCACGACCACCTCTTCTGGCAGTCTACGAGTACTGCAACAACACCCCAAGAACCACCTCCAAGGGGCTGGGCAAGAACAGGGACCCAAGTCTGGCAAACCCAGTGGGACAAGCCTGCAAAAGGCGGTAAACATCGTGGCCGGAAAGGGACGAGGCCCACTCCCAAAGGAGGCAAGGGCAAGACCCCAAACAGCAAAGGCAAGGGCCAGTGGCCGGACGCATGGGCCTTCAAGGACCCCAAGGGGAAAGCATTTTGCCGAGACTTGACGGGCGCCTGCCCCGGCAGCTGTGGCCGTTCCCACAACTGTCCGGTCCGCCAAGGGGGCTGGGTGTGCAACGCGTTTCCGGACAAGCGCACTCCAGACGAATGCCCCCATGCCTCCAAGTGACGCCAGGTCGGTCCAGGTGCCCTTGGCCCTCCTCCACCTGCGGCTTCAGCAGAACTGCATGTGGAACCCCACAAAAAAACCGGAAATGGTCCAGGCGCCCTGGGCCCTGTACCGTCCACACAACCCTCCAATGAACCGAGGCCTCGACCAGGTGCCCTTGGCCCTGATCAGCCCCAAAAGGGTCACCCTGCGGATGCGCAAGGACACCTGCCCACACTGAGGCCACCCCATCGACAGCCGGGAACCCAGCAAATAGCCCAGGCGGGGGCGGGGACCCGCCCTGGACCCAGGCAAACACTTTCCAGGTGGAACCTGCCTTCACTTCACTGGACGAAAATCCCTCTCCCACCAGAGGCCAAACCAACGCGGGCTCCCTGGACTCTTACATCCACTCCACGTGTCCAGACCTCTCGCCTTTGATTTGGGCGGTTGACATCCGACGTGACAAGGGGCCCCTTGGCCAAGATATGCTTCCGCAGCCCCTATGGAACCATCTGTGCTCCCTGGCTGCTGCGGGTTTCCTCCTCTTCATTGCCCACCAAGGAAACCGTCCTTTGGTTTCACTATGCCATTACAGCGGATGCACACCCTTGGGCGTTCAAAGATGGCAACCCACAGAAGCGCATCGCGGCTCTGGAACTCTTGGGTACCTTACTTCTTTGCAAGCGCTTGGTGGCCCAACAGGGCCAGCTTCCGGGACGAGTTCGCCTCCCGGTTGGCAGCGACAACTCGGGCAACATCTTCAGCTTGCTCAACCTCGCTGCCAAGAAACCATACACGGCAGCGCTGTTAATGGAGCTGGTTCTTTTCCTTCATTGTGAGGGCTGTCGCATTGCTCCGAACCACGTCCCCAGGGAATACAACACCTGGGCTGACGAACTTACTCACCCTGATTTTGAAGGGTTCTCCTTAGATTGCCGGTTACCGGCCCCGGAGACCCTCTTTGTTTTTCCTTTTGCCACAAGACTGTTGTCTTCGACTGGATTTTCTTAGGTTCCCACCCAAGATCCCGTGACCGGATCCGGTGGGCAGTCCTCCCGACCCTGTCCCCTGGCACCTTGACAGGTGCCCTTTGGTTTGGGAGGAATAGGGGACACTCGGGTGTTTGGCAGGGATGGGCGAATCCTATTGCCTGACACACCCTTTGTCCTCCTGGCGAAGCTGAGGGTTTTGAAGCTGACCAAACGGTACAGGGTCTGGGGGAGGACCCCGGCATCAATCAAAGCGCGTAAGAAAAGCCTGCATGCAGCTTTTGCGCTCTCGGGATCTTTTTGACTTCTGGGTACATTAGTAGTAGTAGTAGTAGTAGTAGTAGTAGTGGTAGTGGTAGTGGTAGTGGTAGTGGTAGTGGTAGTGGTGGTAGTGGTGGTGGTGGTGGTAGTAGTAGTAGTAGGAGCACCAGGAGCACCAGGAGCACCAGGAGCACCAGCAGCAGCAGGAGGAGCAGGAGGAGGAGCAGGAGGAGCAGCAGGAGGAGCAGCAGGAGGAGCAGGAGGAGGAGCAGGAGGAGGAGCAGGAGGAGGAGCAGGAGGAGAAGCAGGAGGAGGAGGAGAAGTAGTAGTAGTAGTGGTAGTAGTAGTAGTAGTAGTAGCAGTGGGCAGTAGGCAGTAGGCAGTAGCAAGTAGCAAGTAGCAAGTAGTAGCGCGGTTGTTTGGATCGTGAAGGTTGATACGCCTGCACGTGCAACAACATGAATCTCCGCTCACGGCTCCACTCGGGGAGCCAAGCAATGTCGCGCCATTGCGTGAAACGCTATGCGCCGTCCAACCAGAATCAAAAGACTACGTCGCAAAGATTTAGCCCTCCTCAGCTTTCGTGTGACAACACACAACAACTTCAAATTTCACCCAACGTGGTTCACCCAGGCCAGAAACAATTCTGAGGGCATCGTCGCAGAGAGGAACCCGCCAGCGAAAGAGGCCCCTGTTTGGGGGTGCCCCAGTGTGCCACCGCCGCAAACTCCTAAAATCCTTCTGCGATGAATTGGAAGGCTTCCTGACGCAATGCAGATGAATGCAGTCGAGATAATCCAGTCGAGATGAGCGTTTAAGTCGAATCGCATGTTGATCAACCCAGTCAAGATACTCGGCCAGTCTGTGTTGAAGTGTCAGAGCATCGTTTGTGCGAGCACGCAGTTTGGGAGAGTACTTGTTTTTTGTAAGGCATAGTGGTCCTGGAAAGCATGCTCGCAACCAGGGCTTTTGTGGGTTGAGGTCCTCGGCAACCAAAGTCAGGCGGAGTCTCTGTTTGTCAACAGTTGTTTGCGATACCAGCTTAACGGCAGGCTCAGGAAGCAATTCGTTTGCGTCCAATCCCACCAATAGGTAGTACATGATCGCAAGGAGTATTGGCCAGAAAAATGGAAACACCCTAGAACGCTGGAATGCGGATGATCGTTACACTGTCGGACTTAGGACTCGGGACTGGATTCAGCTGGCGGCGGTAGTATATAGTCGTCGCATATGGCGGCGTTGGTGGGACTAGGGCCACGAGGACTTGTAGTGGCACTACTACTACCATCGCTTTTTTCCGCCACTACTACGACAACTATTGCCAGTACCAGTACCAGTACCAGTACCAGTACCACCACCGCCACCTCCACCGCCACCGCCACCGCCACAGCCACCGCCACGGCCACCGCCACCGCCACCGCTACCACCACGACGACGACGACGGCGGCGACAACGACGACAACGACTACGACGACTGCTATTAGTAGGAGTGCCGCGACTGCTTCACCACTTGCAGCGTGACCACGACCATGACCATACTACTTGAACAGGCATAGCGGGCACACCTTCCCAGGCAGCCTCATCTTTGAGCTCAGCGAAGACGTCGCCATTCTTGAAGTGGCGAAGTTTGTCATCAATTTGTGCAATTGCTGCCTTGTGCTTCTCCGTCCCTGCGAGAAGCTTGCAACAAGCTGCCCGCCATCGCTGCCACACCACGCGCCGCCGCTCCATGCTTCACTCCTCCGCGCCCAGTAGACGATCAGCCCACTGCGCAGCAGCGCAAACAGGTTCTGCCTCTCCCACGCCAGCAGCAGGAACAGGTTCTGCCTATTGCGCCATCGCAGCTGTTGTACCATTCATGATCATGGCCACTAGTACCACTACCTTTTCAGTAGGAATACTAAAATGGCGGCCACTATTTTATTTGTGCAATTTGCACTATTACCTCCACAGCAGCGACGACGACTGCTACCACCAACATGACCACTAGCACGACCACCACTGTGACCGCTGGCGCCGCCACCACCACTGCCCCCACAGCTAGTAGTGATAGTGGTGTTGTTGTTGGCGGTGGTTAGCGGTAGCGGTAACATGATGTGAACGTAGTGGCAATAGTAGCAGTAGTAATAGTAATAGTAATGGTAATAGTGATAGTAATGGTAATAGTAATAGTGATAGTAATAGTAGTAGGAGTAGGAGTAGGAGCAGGAGCAGGAGGAGGAGGAGGAGTAGGCTAGGAGGAGGAGGAGTAGCAGTAGGAGTAGGAGGAGGACGAGGAGGAGGAGGAGGAGTAAGTAGTAGTAGTAGTAGTAGTAGTAGTAGTAGTAGTAGTAGTAGTAG